GAAATTTTCCTAGTGGTAGGAGAGAGATCGGCGTTCCGACGAAGCTCCGATGAGGTCTGCTCTACTCCTTCCCCAAAGAATGGAGAAACTCTCCTTTGGAAGGAGAGTCTGACGAGATTCCGACGAAGTTCCGACAGTGCTTCGACGATCCTTCTTCAATTTAGGATGAAGCTCTCTTTTAGTTTAGGAGAGGAGACATCTTGCTTACTTGCCATCCAAGCTCTTCCTCACAAAGCTCTCCTTACACACTCAAATGAACTGATGGAAGAAGAAGGAGAAGTTGGGAGATAACCAACTCCCCTGAGCTTCCCTTTGAGGAAGATGAAGAGTCTCCCTTTTTTTTCCTTGCTCCAAGCTCTATGCTCTAAGAAAACCCTAAGCTCCTTGAGGAAGAACAGGGAGTTCTCCCTTGTGCTCTCCCAAGCTCTCTAAGCGTCCGCCCAAAATTGAAATGTGGAGAAGATGGGTGAAATGATGAAGAGAGGGAGCTTAAACCAACCTCCCCATAGAAAATCCCCAAAGTGCCCCTTAATCAATCCATAAATCGCTAATCAAGGGCACTTAGGACATGCCAAATATGGTTGATCCCCCAAGCCTATTCATAATCCCAAAGAGATCCCCCCAAGTCCGAGGGTCTGAAAATTCAGCTCCAGGTGGCATGCCTCTTTAGGGCTGCCACTCTAAATTTTGAAATTTGGGCTGGTCAGCATGGTCACACCAGGCTTTGCATGGTCACGCTGCTTTGCATACAGGGTCGGTGTGGCCATGATGACTCCTTGGCATAATTACGTCGGACTCACTGTCGTGCAGTGTGGTTTGGCTGCCTTACGGCGTGACTATGCCGTAACTACTGGGAGGTCCGACGTGCATCTGTAATGTCCCGATGGACACCTTGAGCTACGGGAAGGCACACGTAAGCGTCGCACGCTCTTACAACTTCACAAGGACATCTGATATTTGTGACATCAAAAGTCAATGCCAACAATCCAGAGGGAACTTTTCTCGAACCAGACATCGTAGCTCATCACTAATGATATCGGTATAAGTGACAGTAAGACGGGGTGGTGCCAGGTGAGCTGCATGAAATGAATGAGTGGAACTTGTGATTGGCGTCCTGTCTTGACATGAGAATGATTTCATCATTGGGAGAGAACCCGATAAGGTGTATTTCCTGTTGAATGTTGACTTGATGGTAAGTAAGCCTCATTGGGTTGCGGTTGTCACTCCGCGCGTTGGAGATGAAGGATCTCGTGTTGAGACTCCCCCATCCTACGTACTTGGTCTTCCAAAGAATGACCTAAATCACTTTCTTTAGCGGGGTCATTCCTTTCAGAGTAGGAGGGCGCAGAGGCCTGATGCCCTTGGCTCCTTGGCTGTCTTTTGGAATGATGGGTGTTGGAGCGGGATGCTTTGTTGTTGTGAGTATTGCGCTTGGTAGCCATGCAACAATTATTGCAAGTATTTTAGTGGTGTGAATGTTCTCTACCCATAGATGGCGCCAAACTGATGTACGCTAAATGATTCACAGCGTTAGAGTAATAGTTTATCGTCTTAGTTTTGCGCGGAGATTCAACACACTCAGAAATAAGAAAATAACCGGTAGAGACTAAAATTCTTTATGCGTAAAACCCAGAAATGGAAAAATCATAGGGTCTGACCTAATTATAAAAATACATTATAAGTTGATGATTACAGAAACCTCTTGTTTCACATGTGAGAAAAAATTACAAAGTCTTTCAATGTCGATGTGGAGATAAACTTATTGTAAGTAAAGGGCGGGGAACAATGCTAATCGACTATGATCGATGAATGGTAGTTGATGATGGTCGGCGACGATCGGCGGTAATCGACGGTGGTCGGCGGTGATCGACGACGGTAGGAGTTATGTTGAATTTAGCTCTTTCTTAAATTTTCAAGCTCTTCCTCAAGTCTCAAGCTCTTCTCCCTTCTCATGTTAGGGACAAAGCTCTATTTATAGAGTTATGAGTGCAATTACTGCAGAAATATGAAACATTTTGATTGGACGGCTCAGAGGACTTTACTTGATTATACGACACTTGATGGACATTTGAGTGTCTTAACAATGTCAAAATTGAGATTTTGGGCTCATTTGATTCGTCTTTTGAGATGCTTGATTCGACCATGAACTCACTAGATTTGACATTGGTTTGATCTTCCAAATATTCTTAGAAAATTTTTAAATATTGTTTAATTGCTTGATCTGAGTTTGATTTGACTTGAATTGGACCAATTTTGGTACCATTGGGTTATTCTCGTTGAACCAGTCACTATAAGTTTGCTAAAATCAGAGTTATAGTTGACTTTTTATTAATGCTTGAACGTTTTTGCTCAAAATATTATCTTAATATTTGTGGCATGCCTCGAGATTTGTATTTAATAAAAAAATTTGTTAATGACATTTCAAATCTCATCTTGAACTAAGCTTGAACAGAGGAGTTATAAACAAGCTAGAGCTTAAACTCGATCTTGAAGTTCTAATCGAGCTTGAACTGCGACGAACACAATTTTGATAAATGAGCTTCGAACAAACACTTGCTCAACTTGGCTCAGTTCATTTGTAGCTTTAGCAATATTTTTTTTAGTTATGCAGTATTCATTAGTTCTTTCGAGTTGGAAAAGATTCAAGTGAAGCAATCCAATCGTCATGAGATTTGTGAGTTGCTTTTCTATTAGGACTTGTCGGTATGAATAATCCCGATGACATATTTTTTTCTAGTCGATGCAAATTCCCAAACGGATTGTACCGGGGGTTGTTGGTGGATACTTTCATGTTTCGAGCTTGATTTTTTTGCCACTTTTTTCCTAAATCGACTCTTCAATCATACGGAATACTCTCATCAGACTTACCGTTGCACGTTGTTGATGGCTTGTTGAACCTTTCGATAGTAATTGGTGAAGCAATTCTTCCTTCATGCATCGGCGATTGGCATTCGATTCGATTGAGCTCCCTCTAATTTTGAAATGTAGTTATAAAACCCGCTCTGATACCAAATTTGTTATAATCCAAAATTCAAAGCTGAGAATAGTGAGAATTGAGAGTTTTTATTGCTAGTAAAAGGTTAAAGTTGCATTAGAAGATTGGGAAGTTACTTGAACTAAGAGTAGTCACCTCAGAAATAGCAATCACTCAAATTTGTTAAAAAATAATGTCTAAACTTTCCAATACAAGTGTTATAATATCATAAAATAGCAGCAGTTTGCGCTGGAGCTGATGGCTGCAGCTTGGAATTAAACGCTAACTATATGTATTATTCAACTCTCATGATGTCCGAACAATTAGCTTGAATTGTGTTTTCTTGTACCGTTAAATTGGGGTGATTACATTCAGGGCACCCAAAACATTACTATTTACAAATCAAGCACCCTCCTTCATTCATTTTTCAAAATCTAACTCAAATATCAAAGATCGTGATAAAATTCATCCAATCCATATTGTTTATTTTTATCAAACTCATGATGCTTTGATCATGACACATGTAGATGCATGGGTTTGATAGTTCAAACGATCACCTGTAATTATCCTAAGTTTTTCTGTTTGGATCGAGTCTTAGGCTCTACGTTTGTTTGCGGATCTGTCTCTTATCATGGAAGGCAATATGTGCCCCCTTTCTTTTACTCTCTTCTTTAGTACATGAGAATAAATATGGAAGATTTACATGCATACCGGTCAATTCTTATGTATTTACACGTCTAACTACTAAATTTAAAATTTACATAAATGCTACCTTACTTACGCATGAAAATGTGTATTTTATTTTAAAATATGTTAAAATGGTGGTTTATGTTGTTGTTAATATGTGGGTGGTATTAATATAGAATCTAAAGTTTAGATGTTCGATATGTAAATGCATAAAAATTTGGTTCTGATTGTCTTCTTCCTTCTCTCCCTTCTTTCCATCATATAAATTTTCAATAAATAATCACTTACCGATTTGCCCATGTCTCCTTGGCCAAGCAATTCTCACTGCTGTATTTTTAACGAACGTGTATTGGGCTTTTTATTATATTATTGCTAGAAGTTTGAAAACATATTATGGAAAATAGGGTTGCGAATGAGCCGAGCTCGTGCTGTGGTCGGCTTGAAATCGATTCGAATGGATTGAGTGCGGATTGAAATTGGCTCATGGCTCATTATGTTTGATTTCAAGATAGCTCGGCTCAAAATTGAATCGAGATCGATCTGGTTCGAAATCGAAACGACCTGACTTGAATTCTAGTTATTTGGATTATTGGATATGTTCTAGCAGCTCGATACAGCTCAAAATCAAAACAAGATCGACTCAAATTGAGTTATCTGGATATGTTTTAGCTACAACTTAGTTCGTACGTTCTTATGTTTAATTTTATTAAATATCAAATTTTTTTGGTCACCTTAAAGATATTGTTTGTTTCTAACTTTTTAACATTCAAATACATCTTTTTATACGTAGATTCATAGCACCAAAATGTTATAAATATAATTATGAATCTTTAGGTGTTATATGTAAATCCATAAGATTTGTATGGTGCTTTGTAAAATTTTCCTTTTTAAAATTAAATTAATGATTTTATTTTTATTCAATTTGGATGTGAATGGTAAACCTTATAAGAATTTTTACAAGTATTTGTGCTTTAAAACTCTATTATTTCTAAAACTCAAATTAATTGACTGCTTCAATTAAAGTTAGTAATATAAAGACTTAAAAAAATAAATGTTTTTATATATTAATCATTTAAAAATTGGAACATGATTTTTTAATCATACAAATCTTAAATATAATAAATATAAAATATTTAAAATTGACTCATTCTCTTGGAACGGATTGCACGAAACAGCAACCGCAACGGATTGCTTTGACTCATTCTCTTGGACGCACCGTAACGGATTGCACGAAACAGCAACCGCAACGGATTGCACGAAACAGCAACCGCAACGGATTGCGCGAAATAGCAACCGTAACGGATTGCACGAACGCGGCGCATCGCTTCATGGCCTATTAATTCTTCCCAGCAAGCACTAAAGCCTTATCTTTCACCGAGCGCGAACCAGAAGCAGATTCAGAGAACGAAAGAGTAGATTCACTGCGATTGCGAGACTGAGCTAGAAGCCTAGGAAGAGACATGGATATCGAGAAGGTGCTGGTGAAGGATGCGATCAACCATGCCGCGGTGGTAGTCGAGGCGCAAAAGCGGTATCGGATTCAGGTCTCCACGAATAAGAAACCCGTTTACTATTACGTCAATCTCGCTAAGGTATTGCGTTTAGACCTTCCATCCCCTTCTTCTTCTTCTTCTTGTTCGATGTATTTGATTACATTTGATCATCTATTGATCCATTGCAATCATCCGCGGTGATCTGCATTGCGTCTTTGTTCCGTCTGGATCGATTTTGCTCTTCTTGGATCTTTCAATCCTCTTGTTCGATCTTGCCAATTGTGCAATTTTCTGACATTAATGATTAGAGTATCCAACGATTGTACTTTGTTAATGCGGGTTTGTTCTGCTGGTTTGCGTGCAGAGGCTTTTGCAGCGTTTCGACGAGATTGAACTTTCTGCCCTCGGTATGGGTATGTTCTCTCGATCTGATCCTTCGAATATGGATTTCGCCTATTTTTCGAATAGATTTTTTCTTTTATTGCGCTGGTTATGCATTGATTCGGTTTCGTTTGTATTTCATTGCTTTTTTTTTATCGATTTCGTTTGAGGTTATATCGATTTCGTGTTTTATTTCATCAAATTCATGTTTCGGAATGTCAAAGATTCCATTCGTGCTCTTGACTCTCTCGACTTTTGGGTATTTTTTTGTGAGCAAATACACTGGCATTCAAGATTTCTCATGCCCACCATATCTGTTCTACTTGCCTCATTTTTCAGCCATCGGCACTGTCGTCACCATCTCAGAGATCCTCAAGAACAAGGGTCTGGCTATTGAGAAGAGTAATTACGCCTCCATCCACCTCATCCTCCCTTTTTAACACCTTCTAAAAAGAAAAAAAAAATCTCAAATTAAATATCGCATGTTTCTTTGAAACAGAGATCATGACCTCTACCGTCGGCACCAATGACGACGCCAAGGGTCGTCTTTTTCCCAAAGCCAAGGTCTGCTCTGCTTATAACATTTTAATTTTTCCCTTCTAGCCATCGTCCCAATCACAGAAACTATAAAATCCACTGCCGTGACATAGATTGAGATCTTGCTGGGCAAGTCGCCGAAATTCGATGATCTTATGACCGCCGAGAAGAAGGAGCGCAGCCCGAACGCCGGTGCGGCGAAAGCCAAGGTCGCCGTGAACTTCGGTGAGGAAGTGAAGGAAGAAGTCAAAACCGATAAGCAGAATGCGGCTAAGATCAGTGAATGAACTGTGGTTCGGCATAGAGATATTACAATGGTAGAGGAACTTCTCTTCCTCAGTTCTTCTGCATGTTATTAGCATCAGTATTGTTTTTCCTTTGTTTTTCATTTTTAGTTTGAAAGGGATTTTTGTTTTGCCGTAGCTTCAGAGTTTGTAATGCATGCAGGAGGTTCTAGTTTTCCTCTTATGTTAATACAATCTTCCTTGGTTCTGGTTGTAATTTTCTTAGTTTATATAATTTGTTTTAAAGTTCATCTTAATTAAGTTTTGTCAGGCTTTTATGTTTTTTTTAATTAATAATTTGTTATGCATAATTTTGCTATTCAACGAGGCATTGTGATAACAATGAGGTTCTCCGGGCCTCATTGGAACTTGCTCGTTGAATTGTTTGATATGATTATAAACATCCCCTAGAACACGCCTTGAGTGATCGAGAGTAAAAAGAAGAGAGAAGAGTGAAAACAATAGAGTGCAAGATGAACATTTTAAGAAGAAAAAGATCCGTCCTTTCATTAATAAAATAGTCCATTTTTATAATCATATAAGACCTTCGATAAAGTTACATTTTTACCCTACTTTAATAAGACATTACAAGTCATTATTTGCTCTTATTTAATTAGGATTTTAATAGATCAATATTTTTCTTTTAAGAAGCATTTACGTAATTATAAATAATACTGGCATCTTTTAAGATCTATACCTGATTTTGACATCTTTTCGTACCAATAATTGACATAAAAACATTTTTACATCAACTGATGTTGACAACTACACAAGTCTATATATTCCAATCGATATGTCTCTGGATCGGTCGATTTAGTTGACTTGGGTCGACTTATTCCTCATAAGTATCGATCGGCTTTGACTCTTGGAATCCGTGCATCTTTTAAGTGATAGCTGATCGACTCTAAGTTGACTGATGTCGTTGTCTTCGATTTAGATGAATTATCATCATTTGACCAGTTTGATCTTCAGCTGAACTGTTCATCGAGCCCTTTTAATCTGTTAGATCATTATATTTAACCTCTTCATTTCTAAACAGTTTGATCGCCTTGAGATTCGTGCCGATAAGAATTTGAATAACATTTAGTGTTTAAGTTTTTTTTTAAAAAAAAAGGCAATGCTTCAAAACATACATTTATGATTCAAATGTTTGGATTGGGATCATTTGGACTCATATAGAATTGCTTTAAATATCGTTAACTTTATCATCCTAAGCTCAGTCAGAGTTGAAATCAGAATTATTTTTCTAAATTTTCAACCCAACTATTCCATTAAAATTCATGCTTTATTGGATGCATTTTCTGATTATATATTAAAATTAATTTATGTTTTAAACCCTAAACATTACCTAAATATATAATACTTTTAATTTTTAGGTTTTTTAATTTTGAAATTATACCTCCAAAATAGTTCCTTAGATTTGTAAAATAAAATTCAAGAAATTTGTGAAGAGCACAACGGAGATGATTGCTGTGCATGGCGAGGATGGTGGAACGGTGAAGATAACCATAGTGATGGGGACATTAAGTAACATAAATTTAGAGAATAAAACCATTGCAGTAAGATTGGGACCACTCATATCACACTTTGGGATCTTATAAGTTATAATATCAAAACAAACTTCAAATTTAATTAATTCAGGCAAAAATAAGTTATTGGAAATTGTACGAAAATCATTTTGCATTCATTTCACACTTATGCTTTCGATCTGAGAGGGAGGAAGCAAGGGGAGAGCGCGAGAGAGATCACCAAGGGCAAAAGAAGAAATTCGAGCCCTAACGCCAACAACTAACGCCAAACGCAGCCGAGGCCCCGCGATCCGGCTAATGAAGAAAAAGGGATCCGCGGGACGCTGTGTTCAGAACGCCGCCGAACGAACACGCGAAACAAACGCGTGGGCGGCGTTCTGAAAACGCCACCACACATGTATAAGCTGTGCCAAACAGGGCCTTAATCAAACAGAATTTAACATTTATATATTTATATTACTATATATTCATAATATATATATATATATATATATATCTATCTATAACAAATTAATTTTTGAGAATTAATAAATAGTACATTTAGATTAAAAGGTAAATCAACTAGCGGCTTATGCACCAAATGTATCTGCTTCTTATCTTACCCGTTCAGAGCATGAACCTCTTTAAAAAAAAAAAAAAAAAAAAAAAAAAAAAAAAAAAAACATATATATGTATCATATATGCAAGTTTCTAGAGCTTTTTAATGGAAAAACTAAATTTTCAATTGTCATGGATAGGGTTGTAATGGAGTCGAGCATATCATAGATTGTATTTAGCTTGACTAAATTATAAATTGTTCATGTTTGACCTGAACTTGTGCCGAGTTTTCAAATATTGTTCAAGTTTGATTTGTTTAAATTATTCATTAACTAACCTTGATTTGTACTTGATTTACTTATGATAAGTGAACAAATATTTAAATGAGCTAAAAATTTGAACGTGTATCTAGTTTTTCATATAAAAAATTAAATGAATAAATTTACAAATTTAAATAAATAAACAATTAAATAAATCATATATGCAATTATACTAACCCATATTTAAATAATATATGATATAATAAATGAGATATCATCAATTTTTCTATCAATTTATTTAACAAAATATTTATTGAATAATAAATAAATTTATTTGTGAACAAAAATAAATAAGTTTTATATTTTTAAAAGTATTCAAAATTATTTATTTTTTAATTTGAATGATTATCATCGAATCTTTACCAAACGGAATTTTTAATTGCTAATCGAGTCTATGGGCTGATTGAGCTTCCTTCTCATCACTTTCGATACCTTACGTGTCATCTTATCATTCGCTGAAGCAGATGATATGCGGTTGCCTTTACACTGGATCCGAGGCCCACCATTCATGCGATGTGAACCGACCCCAGAATGCAAAATATTTAAGCGACCACCAATTTCGGGTAGAAACGGAAGAAGACGTTGAAAGGGAGTTAGACGATTTCTTCCGACGAAATTCGCTCTCTATCCATATGCTCACATACGCCGATCGGAGAACCCTAATTGCCCATCCGGTTTTGGCCAATGCGGTGTAGAGGAGATCACCGTCATCGATGAGACCGTCGGTGAGAAGATCGACGATCTCCATCTTCTTCATCGCGCTTCTCTGCGTCTGCGCAGCCGCTCCAATCGTCCTTATATCATTCTTCTGGCAGTTTTCTCTCTCTTTGGGTTTGCGAAATCTTTCTCTTGTTTTTTTTTTCTTTTTTAAATTTCGGATTCTTGTGTTTGTTTTTTTGGAGTTCTGATCAGTTGGCTGGAATAATTGCAGAGCAAAAGGAATTTATTGGCGGGAGTTCGGGCATTGTCAAGAATCTCTCCCACGTATGGTTATTTTTCTTTATTGTGTTTGTTTTTTTTTAAAATCCCATTATATCCTTTTGATTATTTGCAACAATTTAGTATTGATTCTATGATGGATGCAGTGGCAATCGGTTGATTATCTCAATTCGATAGAGCAGGTTTTGTTTTCGTGTTTGGGCGTTTCTATTGAATATCATTCCGAGTGCCATGTTGTTTTTGTTAGGTTTACTTACTGTCTTGTCCCGGCCAATGCTAGGAAATTAGTGATGAGATTAAAGAACCGGATGGATTTCTTTATCAAGATGGGGGTGCCAGTGTAGATAAACTTGAGAGGAATTCTTCTTCTGATATTCCTACTGACTCAGGTTCTACAAATGTAGTATTTACCAGCCCATCAAGACGGAGTGGTCTGTTTTGGAGTTTGTTAATTGCCTTTTTTTCAGAAGTTTCTCATTTCTTTAGGAACTGAACGTGAACTCTCTGGTGATCAGGTGGTGGTGCGGGAGCTCAGGAACACCATCCAACTTCTTCTAATGGTGTGATGGTATTTCTCTTACAAAACATACATTGCTATTCTGCTATTAGCATTGTTATTTCTTCTTATTTTCCAGGATACGAAGTGATATGGTTCTTTTTTTGTTTGTCAAGGGATGCAGTAACAGAAACTAAATGAGTTTTGGACACCTAAAAGAGAAAATCAAATTGTTCTATTGCAAAAATTGAGAGTTTACTAAAGTTGCGATTCAATTGGCACATTCAGGATGCAAAACTAAGTTTATTGCCTACAAACTAAGTTTATTGCCTACAAATTTAATATATTTGAGAAAATTTATTTTTTTCAGTGAGGTATTTTCATTTTGAATGCTACTTTTCTCTTGCAATAAATTCTATGCGTTATCAAGGAGTTTTAAAAGTGTGCATTTGTAGAGTGAGCTTATATGAACTCAAAGTTAATTTGGATATTCGATTTGCTTGCTTTCCCTGATGCATAAATGTGAGCTACTACCCTTGTATTAATGCTTTTAGCATGAGATTTTCTTGAATGAATTCAATTATACTTCGATTAATTTCCCTTTGCTTGTGTGTATTTTCCGAAACATTAGTGAAACAAGAGTTTTACTGATTTAAGCCTTCATTCTTTTTTATTTTGTTTGTGCTAGTATGGTGGGTCATATATATTATATCGTGAATAATTTTACAAATGAAATATGATAGTTAGTGACTCAATCGATGTCCAATTGGTAGTATAATAACGTTGGCCCTTTCACCCCTAGAATGTATGAAGATGGTTACACAATTTCCATTATGTTTTTGCATTAGCCTTATTTATATTCTTGCATTTGCATTTTATAAGCATGAATAAATGTTATTTTTTTAAATTATGTTGTAAGCATTGCTTATATCCTTCTCTCGAAATATATTTTAACTTCTTCTAATTAATTTAGTAAAATTCATTTTAGAATCTAGAATACTTTTTAATATATGCATGAGTACATGGCATGCAAATGATTTTTAGATAGTCATAGGCTTTAGTTATGACTAATTGACACTCTATTTTATATACAGTTTAACTCAAAATGTCATTTTATAATAGTGCTTTATCAAAGTATATTATGAGAATTAGCAGTGATATATGATCTATTCATTATACCACAAAAAATATGTAAAAATGTTTAACAACTATTTTTTATTGGCCTTCCTAATAATTATCATAGAAAAATGTTGAAGGGGTAATGATCCTCTGGTATAATTTAATTCACTGCATCCAATTACATTAACTTTAAGTTGCTAATTTTTTTCTTAAGATTCAATGAAGCGGTTAAAGATATTGAATTATGGTCTAAGCCGGTTTCATTCATGTACTATGCACAGTAATTTCTATTTTCACTTGACCTGGAGCATAAAGCTTGGAAGAGATAATTAGCCATTCAAGGAAAATCGGTATCTTTTATTGCTTTATATATTAAGAAACTGTGGACAAGATAAAGGATATGAAGAATAATTAAAGTTCAATTTTGAGAAATTATTAAATTAGAGCGTTCGTTCAGAGTGAGAGTTCCTTAGATGTGCTTATAGCTGAAAAGTTATGCGAGTTTGCAAAGTAGTAGCTTGAATTGCCATTTTTTTTGGATGAAATCCTAATGTTTGAGAGGTTGTCAAGTGATTGAAGAGAAAGTATAACATTCCCATGCTTACGAATAATGCAATATTAAAGGGAATCGATCCTATTAATCATACCATTAAGTTAACTTAGTGCAATGAAATATAGGCTTAACACCCATATCAATATTAAAAAAAAAATTTAATTTCGTGTCAGTAAGGCCGACAATATAGGAGAGGGTAAGGAAACATGCTTAGTAAAATCTCTTCAATATTTACTATTTAAATTTGTTTTATGCTAGGAAATCTATTACATGGTTAAGGGAGTTTAAACTGAGCCTACGCCTAGCCTGTCTTGTTAAATTGGTTGGGGGTTTAGGCATTAGCACAAATTTTCTTCAGGAGAACTTCGGTTGACATGGACGTGACCTATATATGTCTTTTTTCTTAATGTATATATCTAGCAAAGATATGTTTATAGGGTTGCAAAAGGGTGGTTAAGATTTAAGAAGGAAGGGAATATAAAACTAAGAGGAAGGTATTTACCTTGGAATTGATGTGCAATTATCTCACATAGCTTGAAGGAGAGGAATCATTACATAACTCAAGAAACCTAAAGGAGGGATGTACAAAATTCTCAGGTGAGAAGTTAAACATTAAATTATGGCAATCACTGTGACAAATGTTAATAAATTTGGGGTTGTTACATGTTTTACACTTAAATCTTAGCTACTACTCATTCGACAGGCTCAATTGACTCTCTTGAGCAGGAACTCTTCTTTAAAGAGTGTCATATTTTTTACTTCGTAAGAAAACAGTGGGAAATGAAAAGAAGCTTCGTGTCATAACAATTTTGTTAAACAGAATCTTACACTTGAATTAAATTGTAGGTATTGAACTCGAGGATAATAAGTAACAAAATGCACCCGATGTCATGCAAAATTATATTAAGATATTGGAAGTGGACCGTGTTTTGGGCATTACAATGAGTGGCTAAAGATGCACCATTGAGCTGTGGTTAGAAGAAACTAATGGAAAATTATTAGAATGTTAAATGATTGCTCAGGGGTAAAACTCTTGTGAATGTGACAAACGACTCACACAAGAGAGTGGTAGTACTCGATTTTGCAATCAATTGGAAATAATTGGAGAATTTATTAAGCAAATCCAAATAGGGAGGGTATATATGATGAAGATAGTGAAAAAAGTAGTCATCTAAAAACCCAATACTAACATGGTTGTAAAATTAATCGTGCCATAAAACTCTAATTCACCCTAAGGATTCCTAATAATTCTGTAGCTTTTTAAATTGGTTCAAGTTATGACTTGTAATGGCTTGCAAACATTTCTGCAGCATGAAGTGTTGGGTTTTTTTGGGAAGAGACTTTAATGAAATAACATTAAATAGAAGGGCTTATAGATTATTTATCATGGGCTGTTTGCCGTGACCTGAATAGTTTTGAATTGTATTGATAAGTTTCTTTATCTTGAACTGAATTTCACCTATGAAATATTGAGATATCCAAGACATTTGTCATGGCTTTTGGGAGATTGCAACTTATCTTTGAAAAAGCAGCTTAATAGAAATTGTTGGTGAATTCTTCTTATAAAATTTTATTTAATTGTTTAACGTTGGAAAGGAAGTAATTTTCATGTTTTTGTGAATTTTGGTTCCAGAAGCTTTTGGTGAATTTTCATGTTTTTGTGAATTTTGGTTCCAGAAGCGTGGTGGAAATGCAAGGCCCTTGATGGACGAAAAGATCCGGTATATGGAGGATCAGATAATCACAGCCAGGGCATTGCATTTTGTACAACCAAGCAGCAATTCTCACCTTGTAAGGGAGCTGAAGCTGAGGATAAAAGAAATAGAAAGTGTGATTAGCCATGCCAGTAAAGATTCTGATTTGCACGGGAGGTAACCGTCAATATTTCTTCTCTTGGAAATTTAATAGTTTTGAAATTGTGATCATTGCTGGTTGACCAAATTAAAATTTTCTTAAAGCAGAAACATATTGCACGGTATAGAACAGTTGCTCATTTCATTTTGAAAAGCTTTATTGGTTCCCATTTTACTAAGGCAGGAATTTTTTTTCAGTGCCTTGCAGAAAATGAAAGCAATGGAAAATACTCTGTCTAAAGCTAACAAGGCTTATCCAGATTGCTCTGCAATGGCATCAAAATTGCGTGCCATGTCATATAGCACTGAAGAACAACTAAGAGCACAGATGAATCAAGTTTCTTATCTTATTCAGCTTGCTTCACGTACATTCTCTAAAGGTTTTCATTGCCTGACAATGAAACTAACTACAGAGTACTTTGCTTTGCCTCCTGAGAAGCGCCAGCTGCCATACAGCCATAAGTTTCAGAAACCAGATTTTTATCATTATGCTATTTTTTCAGATAACATATTAGCATGTGCAGTGGTCGTGAACTCAACCATTGTGAATTCCATGGTAAGAACTAGCATAGTTCTGTCTTTTTAGTATGCATGAATACAAACTATAATTTGAATTCTGATTTTTACTGTACACTTCAACCTGGAGCACATTGATTGAATTTGTGCTGACTAGCTGATGTGTTGTGGATTAGAAATTAAAGGTTCGTTATTTCCTTAGGTGATTGCGTTTTCTCTAGAAGGAAAAGGAAAAGGATTGAAAGATTATATATAGAGAGGGAGAGACAGAGAAGTCAGAAGAAAGAGAGGAATCGGGAGTGAGAAAGGGTAGCAGGTGAGAATGAGACAGAGAGGTACCTGGAAAGGGTAGAGCGGGCCTAGCTTGAGACAAAAAAGGTTGTTGGACAGAGATTGAAAGGAAGGTAGCAAAAAGATTGTGGGTGAGAAATTTCAAAAGATAGCAGCTAGAGAGGAAAAATGATGGGGAAGAAAGAGAGAGAGAGTTGAGAGGAGAGAGATTGTAGAGAGTTGATGGATTTTCTGATGAAAATATTCAATAAATCTTTATTGAATGAAATAAGTCAATAGGCCGCTTTTATGGAAGGCCATTGGAATCAGTTACATCGAAGACTTTGTGTTTTAATTCTAACTATTTAAAGAAAATAAATTACAAACAATTAAATAACAAAACTCAAATGTACTTAAATCCATCAACTAATGATGCCAAAATCAAGGATCAATCATTTTGTCAACCATGCTTATAAGCCCGGGTCATTATTCATCCATCCCCCAAGATACAGATATCTCTCGTCCAGAGAATTTTTGTGAATTTGTTCATCTTGTATCTGGAGAATGCTTTGAATATCTTGAGTGTGACCCTCAAATCATTAGATGTGGATGTTTTTGCGAACCAACTTTATATTAATACTTGCATTGATGATCTAATATATTCTTATCGGGTAGAACAACTCAAAATCTGTTATAATTGGAGCTACTTGCCTAATATGAATTTGGTGCTGTTTATAGGAATGTATAACTTTACTCATGAAACAAATAAATTTGAAGAATCAAGTGCCTTTATATGACTATAAATTTACGACATGAAAAATGTGATTAGAATTCATATTGAATGGCAAAGCAATATAAGAATGCTATCTTTAAACTTTTTCTGAAATGTATGGTGAATTCATTTTGACAATGAGATAAGAACTTGTGATGAAAGCCTCACAAAATCCAAGTGATGTTCCGGCGATAATAATCTCTTTTGAGAAAAATAAGCCTTGTGGACTAAAGTCTATAAATATTAGGCAATATGTTCCATCTACTTTTTTTTTCTCAAAAGCATCTTGAATCCGTGCCTTCATGGATGAAACTATTAACGAAGAGTCCATAAAGCAGTTTTAATTCATCATTTTTCAAATGATTGTTCATATAATTTGATTAATATGGTAACATAAAACTTGATTCAAAGTCAATGTCTTGTTGATTAACATGTGAAAAAAAAAATCCTAAGTCGATAATTTCTTGAAAGAGGTTAAAAAATTAGCAGCTTCAGCAGGTGTGAGCTACCCAACTCAAAGTTTGGGTTCAGGTTCAGGAGTAAGTTTGAAATACTTTCACCGCGGCAATGTAGAATGCCAGAATTAATAGGGAAACACAATCTAGACCGAAGAGCCAGGAAGTGGATCAGAAATCGTTGAAGAGAAAACTGCCTTTCGGGAATGGTAGCCAGCTATGCCACCAAAATTGACTTGTAGGATGGAAAATAAAGATTTGCAATTATTGTGATGGTTGTAGAAGAAATAAAAATAGGGTTTTGTGTGTGTTTGTGCGTGTGCGTGCATGTGTTTGTGTGTGTGCGTGTGTCGCGCGTGTGTGTGTCTGTGTGTGTGTGAGAGAGAGAGAGGTATCTGGAGATGAACGCGGTGGGCAAGTGTTAGACAGAGGTATTGTGAGAGTGGAAAAGGGTAAGTGAAAGACTGTGAAGAGGAAAAGTGACGCTAGAGAGCATTTGAGGGCAAGCGGACCCAGAAGGGAAAAAAAATATGTTGGGCAGAGGAGGTTATGGTGCCAAAGAAAAAAAAAAAACCAATAATTCCTTTGATATGAATAAACTTAGAGCACCTTTTCTGGACAACGGCCTTGTTAAGGAACCCTATTTTATATAAACTTAAATTTTTAAAGAAATAAACAATAACCAATCACGCTGTTGGAGATACAAATTAGATGCTTTCAATCCCCTCTGGACATGTCAATTTGTCCATGCATGATTTTCCTTCTACAATGTCAAATTCCTTGTTCCCTTTTTTCTTTTTATCATCACTCAATATTGGCTGCTAGGCAAGATTTCATTTTCATATTGTGTGATTTTACTTTTGCATTTATTTGGCCCTACTTATAATGGCACAATCTGCACTGTCATTCCAATATTTGTCCCTCTTTTCATTTTTTAAAGCATTTCTGTGTTCATTAAAAATTTTCTATTGCAGGAGCTGGAGAAAATAGTCTTTCATGTGGTCACTGATTCTCTTAATTTCCCAGCAATGACGATGTGGTTTCTGATGAACCCTCCTAGTAAAGCTACAATTCAAGTATTGAACATGAATGAGTTTGAATGGCTTTCTTCTAATTATGGCTTAACGTTTAAGCAGCATGGGGTGTCAGATCCAAGATACACATCACCCCTCAACCACCTCCGTTTCCGTTTGCCCAAGTTTTTTCCATCACTAAACAAGATTTTAGTTTTGGACCACGATGTCGTGGTGCAGAAGGACTTGCGGAGGTTGTGGAATGTAGATATGGGGGATAAAGTTATTGGTGTTGTGGAGACATGTACAAATGATCTCTCATCTCCATCACTGAAAATGCTCATTAACTTCAATGACTCAACAATAGCAAGAAGTTTCAACGCTAACGCTTGTGTATGGGCTTTTGGTATGAATATTTTTGACTTGAAAGCCTGGCGTAAAAAAAATTTAACCAAGGTGCTCAATAAGTGGCTTCAAGTGGTAAGCTATCCCATTTCAAATTTTTCTCTTACCTCAAAAATACTGTAAACAGCAATGGTTTATTATAATATGTGCATTTGAAATCATTACATCAATATTATGGCTGCGAAGTGATTGAGATGCTGATGAAATTTGCTTAAAGCTAAGAACTGACCGTTGTGATATAGCTTAAAAAAATCATTCCAACAGTGCCCTTTCAATCTCTTAATTATTTATTATTTTTGGATAACATGGCACTCATAATTTTTTATGAATTATCAAACTTATGCATTTACGGATGTGATGATCAAACCATAGGGAATTTGCTAAAAATGAAAAGTTTGGGTTGGGGTTTTAATGTAAATTTCGATATTCCAATGTGAATTTGAAAAATGGATTAACAATGATGCTAGTTTTATAAATAACAATGTTTTCGGTGCTATGTATGCAATTGCCTTCTCTTTTTATGGAGAGTGCATTTAGCAAATACATATTCTTTCTTTATGGGCATACTTTTAACCAGCATGATCAATATTTAGTTATTTAGTCTATTCAAGTTCTGGTAAAACAGTTTTTATTTGGATTTCGGGTTTATCTCAGATATGGTTAAAATTATGTTTCAGGGAAGGAGGAAGCAACTGTGGAAAGCAGGGAGCTTGCCATTGGGCCAACTTGTATTCTACAATCACACTGTCGTGCTGGACCGGCGATGGCACTTGCCGGGCCTTGGGGAGGACTCAACACTAAGCAATTTGGATATCCAGAGGGCTGCAGTTATCCATTACAGCGGACTCATGAAGCCATGGCTTGAGATTGGTATCCCGAAGTACAGACGCCACTGGAATAAGTTCCTCCAGTATCAAAATCCATACCTGCAGCAATGCAACATTCACCCATTTTGAATGCTGGCGGTAATTGCCTCTCCAGTTTTGCTCATTCTTTTCGGCAGCTTACATTGCTTGAATTTGCTGCCCACTTCAATTAATTGTGCTCCTGTGTATATTACTCCAATCTATTTTTACTTCAAATATAGCCTAACAAAATTCATTTTACTTGATTCCTGATGGAATAAGTTTCGGGGCTTAGTTTCATTTTTAGTCCAGAAAGATTAGTTTGATCTTAGTTAGGCCAGTTTATTACTTGTGGAGGAACTTGTAAGAATATGTGCATTTTCTTTACTGATATGGTAGTTTTTTTTTTATTGTATGTTGCTTGCCTTAATGTTATGACTGTTAAAAGACCTTTTTAAGCAAGATATGTAAATACATATGAATAGGTGGTATTTATGTAAATTTTCCGCTTTTTATTTTATTTTATTTTATTGAATGCCCGAGTTAAATTGACAGAATTTGCGCATTTATGTAAAAGCTTGATGATTTTTACCAATTCACCAGCTTGAGTGATGACAGCAAATATATTTTTTCTATAGTGTTTTATTTCCTTTTCTTGTAATTATTTGTTTGCAATAGAAAAAAATCTCCATCAAACCACAAAGCCAAGAACTTGAGGGTTGATTTTTCTCCCATTTTATTTTATTTTTTATTTTATTTTTTTCTATATTCTTAAATGAAGACAAGATATATTTGAAATTCTTAGCCATTTATTGAGTTATTTTTCTATATTCTTAAATGAAGACAATATATATTTGAAATTCTTAGCCATTTATTGAGTTATTGTTTCTGTTATTTCGAGGTGATGAGTTTTGAGGCTTGCTAGTTTGAGGCGGTGTTGTGGGGGTGTGTACGCACTGGCCAAAGGATATTGAAAGTGAAATATCAAGATGAGGGAGGATAAAAGGTAGGATTTATAGTTCTCATGTACGCACTAGCCAAAGGATATTGAAAGTGAAATATCAAGCTGAGGGAGGATAAAAGGTAGGATTTATAGTTCTCATAAATATCAAAATAATTTCCTTGACGTTGAATCTTCTAATTTCAAAAGAAAATTAAATTAGAAAATTTTATTCATGAATATCTAATGAAGTATGCAGAAGTTGCTTATAATATTCTCTCCAACTGTGAATCTTCTATTATAGATAAATTTTTTATTCGGGCATTAACTTACGCACCTCACAATTTCATCGTATGTACATGGTTAAAACCTAAACTTTATCTTTTATATTTATACTTTCTAAATTAGTTATATCATATCAAAAATATTATCATTTTAATCAACTTTTAAAAAAGCCCTCGAGACGCTTGGGTAGCGACTTAAAAGCATAAGCTTCGTTGGTGTCGGTGAGGCTTACGCCTTTTGGTAGTGAGCTCGTTGGTGACTTGGTGTCGGTGAGGCTTACGCCTTTTGGTAGTGAGGCGCACTCCTCTAGGCATAATGCCTAGATTCATTCGACGCGTCACCTCAAATCAACTAATTTTAGTTTTGTATTATTACCTCTACACCCTCACATAATAGCCATATCGGGACAAATTAACATTTAGGGTTGGAATGCTGTTTCAAGAGCTTCTTTGCTAGCTTTTTCCACTTCTCATTGTGTGTCATCTCGATCCCATAAACGCATTGTCCCAAGCTTTTAAGTGTCGTCCTTAGTGGGAGCGTTGAAATCCATCATCGAATAACCGTCATGAGCCCTTATGTGTCAAAAGTCAAGAAGCTTCCTCTTCTGCACTCTTTGGAAGCGTCACAACTCTTTTGATATTTTTCGTGCATTAAACTTACCATGTAATTAGTCTCAAAAGATTTTATTTTCATTATGACACAACATTAGTCTCGAGCAGCTTAGGGTTTGATTGTAATTTTTTAATGATTTAAATTTGGAATGTACAAATATATATTTAATTGTTTATTTAATTTTTAGATTTATAAATAGGTTTAAAATAATTTTAATTGCAAATATGCAATTCTTTGTAACTTCAAACTCATTTGGATTGGTTTTATGAATGTCATTATTTGTTCATTGATTCATTTATACATGTATAACTTTCTTTTTTTAAATTTAGAATAGTAGTAGCACAAGAAGAGAAGATCTAGCTTGGAAATATTGGACTCAAGCTGAATGTAAGGTGAATGCGCAAAGAAATGACATATTTACTTGAAATGTAAAGTTTGTGACAAGCTCGTGGTGTTAAGAGACTTAAAAATTGCTTGGCTTGGACACATGTACTTGTTGGAGAATGTGAGAATGTGTCCACTAAAGTAAGAAAAAAATGCCTTAAATTTTCTTAAAAAATATGCCACTTCAAAAAAACATCACAAAGAAGAAGAGATGATTTTAAATAGTTCATATTTTTTGCTCTCAATAGATGGTTCTAATAGTGCAAGTCATTTGCTTTATTCTGATAGAAGAACTTAAAGATCAATGTGAATGTGGATGAAGATAAAAATATAAACTCTTAATTTATTCCTCTCTTAGCTTCTACAAAAGATCATAGAAATAAAGTATACTTAGATTGCAAATTATTTTCATGAGAATGAAATCTCATTTAATGTGATTAAGAGTCATTCATGGATCAATATGCTTCATTCTATTGGAAATTAATTTTGGGCGAAGGTTATATTTTTCTAGCATATATGAGTTGAGAACTTGGATTAGTTTGGATAAGAGTGTTAGAACTACGACAAGAATATATAGCTGATAAAGTGAAAAAGTCTGAGTTATTGTAATGTCAGATGGTTGGTCTGATATTAGACAAAGAAGTATTATAAATTTTCTTATTAATAATCTTTAAAGAAAGATATTTTTAAAATATGTCGATGAACCAATCTTTGTAAAAGATTCATAATTACTATTTAAACTATTTGATGTAGTTGTTGAAGAAGTTCGAGAGAGCATAATTATTCAAGTTATTTCAAATAATGCAAGTGCTTATAAAGCTGTAGGAAGAATGATAATGGATAAAATAAAACATCTGTATTAGACTCATTGTGTTGTTCATTGTCTTGATTTAATACTTAGAAGTTGAGACAATTGTCGTAACATAAATCTGCTTTTCTTAAAAAAAAAAGTAAGTTTATTTGCAACTATTCTTTAGTATTAAGCTTGATGAGAAAATTTCCATAAGGAAAGCAAGTAAAGAAGATTATTATAAGAGTTAATTTATTTAGGCGCGGTGTTTGTTATGCTCTGAATATTGCATCGCCTTTTGTGAAAGTACTATGAATACTTGATGGTGAGAGGGCTCTTGTTATATAATTTATTTATGAAGCTATGAGCAAGACAAAAGAGAAAATAGTAAAAATTTTCTAGAACAAGATGCAACTTACAAAGAAATATGTGAAATCATTAATTAAAAATGGGATCGTCAGCCATACATCAATATTTACATGTTGTTGCACATTAATTGATTCATCAATTTCATTGTGACAAAGACTTTTATATGGATAAAGAGGTTAAGACTTGTTTATATATATCCATGGATAAAATTGATTCTATGTCTGACAATCTTAAAATCAATGATCAACTTGAAGAAATTCTTTTGAAAAATGGAATGTTTGGAATATATCAACTCAAGCGTGCTACAAGGCACATTCATCTGATAAATTTTATTTTTCTATAATTTTAAATATGTGAGTTTATCATTTATATATAAAGTTATTATCTTAATATATAACTAATTTTATTTAAACTTGTGCTGGAAAGTTGGTTGAAACAATTCAGAGATGGAGTTATTGAACTAAAAAAATTGCTATTAAAATTTTTAGTCTTACATGTTCAGCTTCTGCATGTAAGCGTAATTTTAGCATGTTCAACCAACTAAAGACAAAGAAAAGAAATTGATTGGCTACATGTCGAATGATAAGTTGGTTTATGTTATGTTCAATAAAAAATTGAAAGATAGACACTTAAAGCTACGTACAAAGAGAAATAAATGGTGATGATGGAATATATCCTTTGAATTTTGATGACTTTTATGTCTGAAGCTAAATGGATAAAGCGTAAGTATGATGAAGGATTTAAGTTTGAGGATAATGAAATGACTTCTAATGATGATGATGATGAAGATATCAATGTTAACATTGAAAGAGGTAAAAGAGATATTGAATTTGGATCAGCTTCTACTTCACAATCATTTAAAAGAAAGTATCAAATTGGGGTTGGAGCTTCAAAAAAATGTAAAGGTAATCTTGTAATTAAACTATAATTGATTACTTAGTAGCGTTACTAATTTATTATTTTATTTAAAAACTATATTGAATTAAATATTAATTGATATAGAGAGTAAAATGAACAATGTAAAATTGAAGAAGTATTTAAAGTTAATGGTAACACATAGTTCTACGATGATAGAGTTATTTCATGATTATTCTTCCGAAGATGATGAAAATGATGATGATACTGCTATGAATCCTCATTCTTGTAGTATATTTAAATTCTAAGTTTAATGTTCATATCTTATTTCAAATTACTTACATTTATTTCAACTTTTACAAGTGAAGAACACATTTTCATACATAGATAATGTAAAAAATTGAAGTTTAGGCGTTAGATATATAAATATATATTAATTCAATGTCACAAATGAAAATATTCTTTTCTTTTTTCATAACTTTGATACAAACACATTTGCTATTAACATTTGATCATTTTGTTTTTTATTTCATGATTTTTGGTTGTCTACAACTATAATCAACTTCCTTGTTATGCTGTATTAAAATATACATAGCCCAATTCTCATAATGATGTTTAACTTTAAATTTCAAGCCCAACATAATTATTAGAATTGATGTTGTCATTGGCAAGCTTCTTTATAACAATCTTTTCATTCTATTTTGATTGTTTTTTGTTTTAATATAGAGAATGGCTTGGCAATCAAAGGAAGCCACTTAATAAATCTTTTGTATGATCAATTGAGACAAGGAAGCTCCTTACTCATGTTATTGACCAATAACCAATTAATTTTATTTTGACCCACTAAAATATTTTCACCATTAATCACATGCCCAAAAACAGAACTCTTTTAAACCAAAAGTCAAATTTTAAAAATTTTGCATGTAATTAATTCTCTTTAAATGTTTGAAAAATTGCATAAAGATGATAAGCTTGATCAGCTTTAATTTTTCCAATAAATTAGAATATCTTTTTATAAATATAGCCATAGAATTAAGCCTTCCATCTAATATCAACTAAGAACACAACTCTTTTAAGCTTCATTCTTAATTATAACTTTATAAAATTCTTCATGCTGAAAGCATAATTTAAGCCTTCCATCTAATACCAACTGAAAGCTAGACTCTGCCTCAGTGTAGAATAATAGTTTGCCATCTTGAGTCCTCAGATA